GTTATTGCCCTTTTTACCTCAACGTTATATCGTTTTTTTATTGATACAACTCGTACCATGCCGTCTCGGCTTGGATGTACTTCTGTGATTCTTCCTAAGGGCCATTTTGATGGGCTGATGTGTGCCAATCTTCAAATTTTCTTGAGGAGTTTTCGTATCGCATCTGAAGCTGATTAAGATAGTCGGTTGACAATTTTTTCCAGAAGTCTATTTTCATTTTTTGAACTAATTTCCATCTCTGATTGTGACTTCCGTTTATTTCTATTTTTATTGGATTAGTCGGCGGGGCTAACATTGATCATCTAATTAGGAAGTGCTCTGGAGTCAGGACCATTTAATCATTAGTATCTTCTGTTAGTGCACACAATGGCTGTGAATTTAAACAAGCTTCAATCTGGTGTAGCAGCGTGGTCAGTTCTTCATAAGTTAATGTCGTATCTCCCATGATTCTTTTCAAGTGATGTTTCATCGACTTTACTCCGAATTCCCATATACGTCCAAAATGCGACGCTGCTGGGGGCATGAAATGCCACTGGGTACCAATAGTATAGATTTGAACTTGAATTTCTGGATCTTCTGTGATTTGTTTGATTTCCCGCTCTAACAAAGTTTGTTCCATTGTCACTATACATGTGACTGCAGTGCCCTCTCTGTGCAGTAAATCGTCATGCGGCTAGGAATGTGTCTGACGTCATATCACTCACCACTTCTAGATGTATCGCTTTTGTAGCCAGGCACACGAATACGGCTATGCAGCCTCTATATGATTCGTGGCCTCGTCCTTTTTTTGCTCTAACCTGTATAGGCCCAGCATAATCTACGCCTGTGTGAGAGAAGGGTGGTGACGGCATCAGTCGTTCTTTTGGCAGATTTTCCATTTGTTGATGCACCGTTTGTTGTAAGTAGCGGACGCATTTTACGCATGTATTGATATTAAATTTTATTGCTTTTTTCGCATTAATGATCCAGAATTTTTCTCGTGTGTGTGCGAGCGTCAATTGGTTTCCTCCATGAAGCGTCGTTTCATGCGAATGACGAATTATCAAATCTGTTAGGTGGTTTTTGCGAGGCATAATCATTGGATGTTTCTGGTCACTGGACAGTTGTTCAAAGTTTTCTAGACGTCCTCCTACTCTCATGACGCCTTCTTGATCCAATATTGCATTGACTGTTCAATAGTTTGCTTTTTGAATTTAATTTGTTCTTTTCCATTAGTGCGAATTATTCGTGTGGGAATTCTATTTTTTGTGAACTCCTTACAATTGGCGTCGCAGAATCGGATTATTACTATTTGGATTTCATCATAACATATCCATCTTGGAATTCTGATATTTTTGATGTGTTGAACGTCATTTCTGAATTTGTTGCCACCGCTCCTGTATGCCTGGATTTTCTGGCTCATCTCACTCTAGCTCCTGTACCCATTAATCTTGCATCAGTAGCTTGGCTTTCATTATAAACGGGGACAGCATTCCTAAAGGATCGAATATTTGGGCTATTTCTGATAGAATTTGCCTTTTTGTTACACACATTTCAATTGATGAGTTGACTCTGGCTCTGGTGCGTCCTCTTTAGATACCCAAAAGATTCCTAACGATTTTTTTGTTTCTTTCTCGCCTATTTCGAGAAATGTTTTTTCTTTTGAGCGTCTGGAATATTTTGAATAAATTCTACTGAATTGCTCGCCCACTTTCTCAGCGTAAATCCTCCTGCTTTCAGGAGATTCACTATGTCTTTTTGAAGCTTCCTCAATGCTATTTGCTCCAGACAGTACGCCGTCTACTTAAAAATCTCTCAAAAGAATTTTCGATGCTTCGTCGAAGTGGGTACTTTCATCCTGGGCTAACTGGTGCAGTGCTCTTATAGCCAAATATGGAGCTGAGGATGTGCCGTAGGTCACAGTGAGTAATTCATATTCTTTTGAGGTTCGTCGGATAAAATCTCCATACTATTCTTTGATACTTGCGATCTTCTCTATGAATCAAGATTTGTCTATACATTTTTTCGATGTCTGCCACAAACGCTATTCTGTGCTTCCACCATCTGAGCAATGTTTCTGAGATATCTTATTGCAATCTAGGGCCTGTATGTATGATGTGGTTTGAACTAATGTTTTTGTCGGTTTTCGATGAGGCGTCAAATACGACTCTAAGTTTGGTTCTTGAGCTGTCTTCTCTTATCACTGCCTGATGTGGGATATAGTATTTTCCTTGATTTCTTTCATTCCAGGGCACCTTTTTCATGTGGCCTAGCGTCAAATACTCTTCCATAAATTAGGCGTATCGATTGTACAAGTTCGTGTCTCTGGAAAATTTCTTCTCCAACTGCTGGAATGTTGCTACAGTTCAGTTCTTAGAATTCCCTAGGTCTGTTTCTTCTTTGAATGGAATATGCACTGTGTAAGAGCCATTATTGTTTCTATTGGTTGTTCTGACATAATATTCTTCGCATTCTTGATCTTCTCTTGTTAATAGCTTTTCTGCCTGAACTTCTTCAATTTCCCAGAAGATTGACAACTGTTTATCTTCCTCGATGCGAACGACCACACTTGCTACTTCATTTAAATTGGTTGATCTCTTCATTGTCATTGGTCTGGACAAAATCCAACTAAACTCTGCTTTTTGTCCAATCAATCCTGAGTCGCATTTTTTAAGACCTTCTGGAATTATTTTGCTATATTCTTCGGCTCGTAGCAAAATATCAATGGGTCCGGTGGTGTTAAATGTAGGATCTGCTAGTATGTCGTTTTTCCATTGTTGGGATTCTATTTCAGGCAACAGATGTTTCGGGAGAGCTCTGGTAATTTTTGGTAACACCAGTAGCTCGACATTTAGTGATAAGTTGATTGGAAATTGTGCTTTTAACTGGGGGGGGGGGGGGGGGGGGGGGGAGGGGGTGACTTTTGATTTTGATATCCTGGCGTCTTCACTTCCCATTCCTGTTATTTCTGCACATATTCGTTCTATTGGCAGAGCTAATAGGTAAATGAATCGCTTGCTCAGTTATGGATGAACCTTGTGAGCCTTGATCGATCAGAACTCTTAGAAGTTTTCCTGATCCGTCGACTGCCTGGCGTACTACTAGGGCTGTATAGCAAGTAGGACTTTTCATTTCTATCTGGCTGTCGCTTGCCGTGTAGTGATTGCTTCTTCGATTTCTTGAATTTCTAAGATGGTTGTTCTGATTTCCAGCATTACCGAGCCCTTGGTATCTTTTATTATTTTCTTGATGAATTAATGTGTTGTGCGACCAGTTGCATTTTTCTGGGCTGTAACATCTGAATTTATCGCTGTGACGAAAGCAGTTCTGGCACAGCTGTTTTTCTCTAATTATTTTATTTCGATCTGGCACTGATTTTTTCTTGAATTCGGGGCAAAACACAATAGCGTGCTGGTTTTGCATACCGCATATAAGTCTCTAGAAACGTCTTTTTTTTATGCCACTTATAGATTCTAGAGATTGAAATCTTTTTCTGAGGAACTCAAACACTTCTTGTCTAGACGGAATTTTTTGTGGATCTTGTAATTGTTGCTCGTTTAATTTATTGGTTTCGTGGTCCCATTTTTTAGTTATGAGTCTCCCTACAAATGGATCCCATGATGTTGTGTCAATGCCCAAATTTAGTATTCTTTCCAGACATTCAATTGATAAGTCGTGAATGTTTAATTCTTTCTGCGGACTCATGCGTGACTGATGGTAGTTCCCATAATTTTATCCAGTGATCATCAAGTGCTTAATTATGTTTCGCGGACTCCTTGAAGTTGAGATTTTAGGAATTGCAGCTTCTCGGAATCGCTTGGTGACGAATTTTAATCTATCAGTCTCGTAAATAGATTATAGAAAGTAGGCCAATCTTGGTATTTTCCTGAGAAAGTCGGAAGTTTCATGTTTGGAAGGCTGGTGTTGGGTAGGCTTTCTGTTTGTTTTATTTTTTCCTGAACTTTCTCTTGTAGCAAGTGTATTTTGTATATTAATGCTCTATGATCCATCATGTAACTCTCTTCCAGTGTGGAAGCGTTTGCCATAATTTCATTATGTTGTTTCTTTATCATAATCCATTGATCTAGCAGCTCTTGTAACAATATTGCGTATCTTGCCGCTAATTTACTTTTCTTCAACTCCTCTTCGATTGAATTTGCGGCGTATAATACTTCCTTGATCATTATTTCTTTTTTGTTCATGTGTGCGATTTGTTCCTTTTCACCCTCCAATGCTGCTGCTTCTCCATCTACTTTTGGGCAATTTTTCAAGTATTTCTTGGCTTCGCTGTAAATGTTGCCATTTGTTCATCATATTTTGTAGTGAAATATGCATGCTGCTGTATGCCGAATGCAACAATTTCTTCATGGTTTTTCAAGCTGTGGTTTTTCTTTACCTTTTCCCATACTTGGTCTAAGGCGGATTTTCGTGTTGCTATAATATATTCTTCCGTTTTTCTTGATATCGGGTCTTTTTTACTATTGATTAAGATTCGGTCGATCTCGTTCCCTAGTTCGTCCTGTTGTTTGGCTAGCTCGTTTGCTTTTTGAATATTCCAGGCTCTTATTGAATTTTTGTTTCCTTCCAAATTTCGTTTTGTAAAAGAATAAAGGAACATTCAAAAGCCTGGAATAGAAAATAAAAATGATCAATTTCCCTTAATTTTCTTCTCTTTATTTCTCTTTTCTTTAGTGTCAATTTTTGACTATTCCTGGCTCTTGAATTTCTGTTTCCTTCCAAATTTCTTTTCATAAAAAGATAAAGAAACATCAGGAGCCCGGAATAGAAAGGAAAAATGACCAATTTTTCTTAAATTTCTCCTCTTTATTCTTCTTTTCTTAAGCGTCAATTTTCGATTATTCCAGGCTCTTGAATTTCTGTTTCCTTCCAAATTTCTTGTTATAAAAGAATAAGATAAGGAGCATTCAAAATCCTGGAACAGAAAATAAAAATGATCAATTTTCTCCTCTTTATTTCTTTTCTTTAGTGTCGCATAAATAACTGGTATTATTTATTTTCAGTTGGCAAAAGAAAAACAGATGAAAAAGAAAACACCCAAGAAGCAGAAAATTCAAATTTCACTGAAACATATAAAGAAGAATATCCCAATAATGACCAGTCAGAAGAAACTAATAGCAATGAAAATGACAACTATTTTTCCGATAACGACGATTGGGCTTCTTCAAGTGAAGAGGAAAAACCTAAACCAGAAAAAACAAAAAAGAAAATCAAAATTGAAAGGCCCGAATCGTTTACTTGCGAATATTGTGGCAAACAATTCAGAAGACACCAACATTGGTCTGCACATATAAGATCTAAACACACTTTTGAAAAACCTTACAAGTGTCAATTATGCGAGGCCAGTTTTGCTACATCACACAGTCTTTTAGTTCACAAAAGAAACCACAATAATGAAAAGCCATACGTTTGCAGTAGTTGTGGCAAAGGATTTGTATGTTCAGGAGATCTGTTCCATCACAATAAAATTCATTTGAACAAAAAGGAATACGAATGTAATATTTGTAGTAAAAGATTCAATACTACAAGCATATTAAGGACTCACAAAATTGTCAAACATACTGAGCCTCAATATTGGAAATATATTTGCAAGTTGTGTGACAGAAGATTTCCTATCAACAGCAGCCTATCATTACACATGAAAAGGCACACTGGTATCAAAGACCATCCATGTCATATTTGTGGTAAAAAATTCTTCAACAAATCTGAAGTAAGCAAACACATACTAAGTCATTCCAATCAAAAAAGATTCAAATGTACTCTGTGCGAAGAAAAAGAATATAAAAACAAAGAAAGCTTGAATAAACATTTAAAACTAATTCACGACATGGGCACTTGGAAAGCGCCAAAATTGGAAAAGAAATATTTGTGCTCGTATTGTCCAAAAAAGTTTGATTTTAATAATAAACTGCAAAGGCATTTGTTGACTCACACTGGAGAAAAACCTTATAAGTGTGATTTTTGTGTAAAAAAGTTCAGCGACACTTATTATAGAAAAAGTCATATGAAAAAAGAACATGCTAATCTGTACGAGCAAGAGCAGGAAGACCCAAAATATATTTTAGAATATAAACAGGTCTAAACAAATTGTGTGAAAATTTTCTTTTATTTCAATATATGTATGTGTAGAGCATTGTTTCATTCTGCTTTTGCATAATATTATCTCAGAATATTAATATGCCTGAAAATCTAGAATAACCTACATCTGTAGCAAAGAGGTAAATAGTCGTAACTCCACTTTTTGTCAATATTGAGTTAATATCATTTTCAAAGTGCCCGCTTTCAATTTGTTATTGTGGCAAAAAATCGTAAGTCCCGCTTTGTTGGTTGCCTGTATTTTTAGTTTTTTTAAAGATAGTAACTCCATGTATTAGTGGGGTAAAGAATAGTATGTCCTTTACATACTATTCTGTTAATGTTTACTTACCATCAAAATTCGTAGTGGTAAACAGTAGTAACTCCACGGAACGGCGTGCTGCTGATTTTTTAAAAGTATTTTTAGTGTTTTGAAATGAGGAAAGGTGATAAAAGACCTAATATGTTGATTAGGTTGAAAAATAATGTTGTAAAACAAAAAGTCAAGATAGTTCCGATGAAGAAGACAGCGAATAAATTTTGCCTTGTACAAATCATAATCTTTTTTGTCTAGGACATCTTCTTGAAGAGAATTACATTTTTTTAAGTATTTTGTGCTCAATAATCATGTTAGCGATAAGCAATAAAACTGGTTTTGCAATATAAGACTCGAGATAAGACTTCTATTTTAATGATTACCTGTTTTTTCAAATTGAGGTAAAAAGTCGTAAATCCAAAATCAAGATACAGGTAAGTATGGCTGAAATAATGGTATTGGTTATCAAAACTGCTAATTAAGTTAAGTAGCATACCATAATAACAGCTTGGTACCGTGTATAAAAATAAGTCAAATTTTAAAGTGAGTTAGCATTTCAACTTGTTTTCTTCTTTACTGAACTTTTTTATTTATGGACATACCATTGTTTACCTCTCTGCTACAGACATAGGACTTACATTTGAATGAATATGACGTCCTTTTCTGGATTTCACTCTTCCAAAAATAGTGTTGATTATCTAGAAAGGAGTTACCATTTACAGAAACATGAGTATCTTGAAATAATATTTAAAAAAATAAACTAATTAAATAATTATTAATAACAATTTTTATTTTCTATAACATTTAAAGCTCCATTCATAAATACTCATTCAAAATACAAAAATCAGTTAACCATGAAAAACATGATAGTTATTTCATATTGTCCAATAAAGACAACTTTACCCATTAATTTGAGTCTGGGAAGTGGATTGCACTCATTATTACTTAATTATTGAAAATATTTATTTAACAGGATCAAATTTGTGACGTTATTATTCAAATACCTACTCGTTTAGAAATTGAGGACGAATGCATAAACATCTAACTATACTTTAATGGCCTAGTCACCTAAATAATAAGTATCTATTTCTATACAATTTAAATGCATGAAAACCCTGTATAAATTAATAAGGCACTGGTTTGATCCATGATCATGATCACAATAATTCAGGAATATAGCTCTGTTTATTAAGAAGTAGTTTAGCTAATTGCGCTTCGTTGCCATAAAACTTGTTTAGCTTATTTTGATCAGTTTCAGGATGATAGAAGACCTTCAAATTCATTTCAGTTGCTCGCATGCAATGAATATCTTCTCCATATGATAAAAACATCTCAAAAATATTGCTCCTTGTGTTTTTCTGCACCAATTTGGACAAATCATTGTCGGATCGTATCAAGGGTATTGTTCCTTGATTTTTTTTTCTTGCTGAAAAAAGACATTTAATACAATGATTAAAGTATAATAAGTACTGTTGTTTTTTAAAGGTTTCTCAAAAACCAGGTAACTTCTATTTTAAAACATAAACAAATCGAGACATCAAACATTATGGTAGTAAGGGGCGGTTGTGAAAACGCCAGTTTTAGTTTATACCATGAAATTTTAAAAAAATACTTCTGTCTAGATTCTGTTAAGTGCGGCAGGAATAAAAGCCAATCAAATAACAAAAAGTCAAGCTTTAAAACCAGAAGTTTCAGGAACTCAGAAACCTTTAAAAAAAAACATAGTATGCAAATTAATTCTTTCATTTACCATTCACATAATCAATCCCATAAAAAGAGATGTATTTGTACTCTTCCCTGTCAAAATGACCAGCCGTTTTAGTCACTTCCATGTTCAACATATCAGTCACGTGAGGATCATATTGTTTGAATGGAATTGGAGAAAATACTTGGTAGCCTGATATGGTATTCATTCGTACCTAAATTGATATTCAAATCAAAATAAATACAAAAAATATAATGTAAAATAATCTTATACCCGATTTAAAAAATCTACAGTAATATTAGACCAAACATCTAAAACCAAGGACAGACCATTTAATCCAATTTTTTTCAATGCTAAGTCAGTGACTCCAAAATTTAAGGCCTGATTATTTTCAATTTTTAATTCCTTTTCACTTTCTGGCAATCTTATAGAAAGCCATCCAATTTTTACGTCGTCGTTTGTATGTTTTGCTGACGTGCGAGTCACAAAATCTTTCAGTTTCAAAAAAAAATCATTAGGACCTAAAATATTATTTTTGAAATCCTTGAAACCTGTTTTCAATGCAAAATTTTACCTTTGCTCTCAGTGTTATATTGGTAAATCAATACCACAAGCATAAAAGTTTTCTCTTTCTTGTCCATAATATTGGTGCTGTAGGACATTAAAAACTTTAGTGCCTGATCAATTTCACTTTCTTGAATAGGTAAGATTATTGATACTCTTGTATTTTCAGTTACATAGGGAGCAGGGATAAATTCAACGTTTCCCAAGGGTTTGCACACTTCAAATCTTGAAAAAGTAAATGTATTACTATTATTCATATTTAAAAAAAAAAGTTGCTTACCTTTTAACAATTTCCTTTCCAGTATTCAAATCCCTAAAACCCAAATCTAGCATGTAATCCAATCCCCGGCTCAAATCGAATGTTTTGTATCCATTCACCAGTCGCCTATATTCAAATCTTTTCGGATATTTTTCCGCTACTTGAGCTAGCACATCATTGAGAATGTTCTATTAAATTGAATCAATTTATTAATTTAGGTATTTTGGACAAACCAATTCCTACCTTTATGTCAGTAATTTCGGGCTCATTATGCGTTCTCAGAATGGTAAAATCATCAGGCATAAAAATATGGGTCATATTAAAATAATACTGCCGAGGTAAGTCAAATCTCGTTGCCGGAGTAGCGCCCGGTTTCTGACCTGGAGGCCATGATTTTGTCATAGTACTTGAAATTTTCAAAATTTGCTTATTAAACATTTCTAGACGTTGCTAAAAAAATATTCAATAAATATTTATATAAAACACTCTGATTAGGTACCTTCAAGAAATAAACATTTAACCTGAAAAAATCATCATGGGTAACAACTGGTCGCACTGTAACTGCCTTAATGAAATCTGGGTTTTCGCTGAGTTCCTGCAAATGATTTGGCAAATCGAAGTGGGTTAATTTGAATGAAGGCATCACTTGATCCTAAAAAAATATTAGTTTAGTTTTTTGTAATTCGATTACAGATTGGTCTTGCCTGTGCTGTATCTTGACAAGTCATTCCTAAACTGTGATAAATGCAACGACCCAGATTTTCACTGTGATCGTCCGACACTGCGTTCATGATGCACCATTCTAAATTCTTCCTTGCTGCTTTTAGTACTGAGTTGCTTATTATAATACCTGCATCTGAAAATGGATAGAATTCGGTATTTTATTGATTAATGATTCAAATAATCATAAAAGTTATGAAACACTTAAAAAACTGCAATTTTGTAATTCGTATATTTTTGTTCTTGGACCTGAGTTGGAGCCATGTTCCTCTAGTTTTAGATCTGACATCCATAATACAAAGCCAATGATGAATATAGAAATAGGGTTACAAAATGCTTGAAAGTGGGCCTAATATTTGGCTATCAATACATATAAACTGCTGGAACTTCGATACACATGAAGAAATTTTTTGCCTATTTTTGAAGTCAAATATCTCAGAAAGTATAAGATATATTTGATTGCGGTTTGAAGCATTTTGGGGCGCATTATTTAGTGTCCAAGGTATATGGTATCGTGCTGATGAACAGGAACCTTATCTACAACATACAGGGTGGAAAATAAAACAGTGCAAAGTTTAACAAATTTCAGAGCGTCGCCATTTCTTTTCGAACATACTCCTGCATTTTTTTCTGGGTTTTAGAAGAATCAGTAGGTCAATGGTAAGAAACAAGTTGAAGGGTTTTTGAGTAACTCTCGCAGTTTTGCAGAAATTACAGTTTAACTGAAAAACGACGTTCAGCAACCTGATTCTTTGTCTCACTTTCTAGAAACAATTGTCTTCATTATTGGTGGTTCAACACGTTTCAGTTTTTTGTTTCTTCGTGTTTTAGGAAGATTTTATACAGGGTGAAAAAAAAGTAAGTTTTTAATACTAATTATTGGGTGGTCCGTGAAGATAATTTATTGCTCTAGTAATTGCAGAGTAACTAGAGATAGTCCGCTTCGAAACACGTAACATGTAAGTGGTGACACCACAGCAGATCAATTAAAGGCTCACGTGGAATCCAATAACATACCAACTCAGGTTAATGAGAAACTTCAATCTAGAAATGAACACATTGCTTCCTTTAAGCTCTCTGTAGAGCCTACATATGAATCATAAATATTGAGACCAGAGTTGTGGAGAGGCCAAGGACCTCTAGATCATTAACAACAGAAACTTTTTCAAAAGAAGAAATCAGACCCAAAACAATCCTCGAAACCATGTCCAGAATCAGCGATAAGTGTCTGTTACCAGAATATGGAGGGCTTAGGAACCAAATTAAACACATTAATGTGTTTCACAGCAATTGAGAACTATGACATTCTTCTTTTCACTTAAACATTCTTGGACGAGTCTATTGGTGATGCTGAACTTGGTCTAATAAACTATTTTTTTATAAATTTTCGAAATATTCCTGACCGTTTATCGTTAATTTAATCCTTTTTTTTTTTTTTATCCTGGGAATCGGTCACACAATGAAAACACTAGCTTGTAATTTGTAACGTTTCGGTTTATTTAACCATCATCAGACAATATTTTTCTAAAAAAGATCAAAAAATATTTTTACATAAAATTCTTTTTTTTTTTTTTTTTGATTTTGGACAATTCTACATTATAAACATAAAAATAAAAAACAATACAATCATAGGTACAGTACAAACTAATTAGGTGCCACATTTAAAAAAAGACAGATATTAACATTATTTCTATATTTAATTATTATGTGGAAGAGAGTTACGAGTAACACGAGAGAAGGATGAAAAGTATGTATATATATATATTTCATTTAATTTTTTTCTAAAAATAGTGAAGGTTTAGGAAAAAAAAATTCAGAAAGAAAAAGAAATAAAAAATATAGCAATGGAATTCTTACCAGCTATTGTATAATCGTAGTCTACCAATTGTGTATTCAAGTATTATTGTAATTAGATCATCAAACTAAGTTGTTCCATGATTTAATTTTTCTTTTTCATGTTTTAAAAAATCTTTATAATTTATTTGATTTTAACCAGTTCGACCTTTCGCAGTTCTAGTTGATGTTGCTACGTAAATAGGTGGAAGTGTTTGTTTCTTATCAGTCAGGGTTTTTTTTTTTTTTTTTTTAGCCTATTTGGAATTCCATTCTATACACAGTGTGTTCGTTAATCTAATGTATAGGGAGAGCAAAGTTTGTGTTATGTTTATTGAGTTGTGATTAAATTATGGTAAATATCACTTAAGTTTTCTGTATCAGATCTAAAGTTGATAGTATTTGAATTTTTTTGAATTTGGATCATTTCATGAATTCTTCTTTTATGGTAATTGTCTTCTCTTACTAAAATTTGTGCATTATCAAAATTGAAACTATGTAGGTTTTCATGTGCATGGTGTGTTAAAGCTGTTTTGTTTTCATTGTTTCGCCTCAAACTATATTTGTGTTCATATATTCTTTTTTTAAAGTATTGTTTTGTTTGTCCAATATATGTATTACTGCAATCAGAACAATCAATTTTATACACTATATTCGGAGTATCCATTTTGGGAACATTAGGTTTTAGATTGGTGAAGATTTTATTATTAGCCAAGTTCCTTGTTGTTTTTTCTGCAATTTGGATGTTGTGGGGCTTTAATATTTTTGAAATTTTTTTGTTTATTTCAGGAATGTATGGAAGGGATATATATTTGTTTTTATTTTCTGTTCTATGATAGGATGTAGAGTTATAAATTTTATTGATTCTATTTTTAATTATGGGTTCATAAAATTTTTTTGGGTAATTGTTTTTGTTTAGTACTTCTTTAATTTTTATCAAATTTTGAGGTCTAAATTCCGGATCTGATAAATTAATGGCACGATCAGTAAGTGCTGTTATGACACTTTTTTTATATTTTAAATTTTAAAGGGGCATAGGAGTTGTAATTTAGGTATCTGCCCGACCATATATCTTTGGTAAACCAATTTGTTTTAATTATGCCATTTTCTTTGTAATTTATGGTTAGATCCAAAAAATTTAATTCCTTATTTTGATCCATTTCTATGGTAAACTTTAAGGTTTTGTGAAATTGGTTAAATTGTTCTAAGGTATAATGAATCTTATTTTCAGGCAAACACATAATACAATCATCAACAAAACGTTTAAAAAATATGGGTTTATAATTTAATTTGTTTATAATTGTTTCTTCCAAACATTCCATTACTAAGTTTGCTATTGTTGCTGATATTGGGGATCCCATTGCTACACCATAAATTTGAGAGTAAAAATTATTTTCATATTGAAAGTAAGTAGATTTAAGACAAAGTTCTGTGGCTTCAATAAATTCCTTTTGGGGTATTGTTGTATGTTGTTTAATTTCTTCCCATTTATTCATTAAACATTCTATTGCATAATTAATTGGAATGTTTGTATATAGTGATACAACGTCAAGTGAGATTAATCTATGGCTTTCTGGTACGCTTTTATTTTTAATAAAATTTCGAAATTCCCATGAGTCCTTAATATGAAAGTTTGATTTTCCCAGAACATTTGCTATTACAATGTAATGTAATAGCAAATGTTCTGGGAAAATCAAACTTTCATATTAAGGACTCATGGGAATTTCGAAATTTTATTAAAAATAAAAGCGTACCAGAAAGCCATAGATTAATCTCACTTGACGTTGTATCACTATATACAAACATTCCAATTAATTATGCAATAGAATGTTTAATGAATAAATGGGAAGAAATTAAACAACATACAACAATACCCCAAAAGGAATTTATTGAAGCCACAGAACTTTGTCTTAAATCTACTTACTTTCAATATGAAAATAATTTTTACTCTCAAATTTATGGTGTAGCAATGGGATCCCCAATATCAGCAACAATAGCAAACTTAGTAATGGAATGTTTGGAAGAAACAATTATAAACAAATTAAATTATAAACCCATATTTTTTAAACGTTTTGTTGATGATTGTATTATGTGTTTGCCTGAAAATAAGATTCATTATACCTTAGAACAATTTAACCAATTTCACAAAACCTTAAAGTTTACCATAGAAATGGATCAAAATAAGGAATTAAATTTTTTGGATCTAACCATAAATTACAAAGAAAATGGCATAATTAAAACAAATTGGTTTACCAAAGATATATGGTCGGGCAGATACCTAAATTACAACTCCTATGCCCCTTTAAAATATAAAAAAAGTGTCATAACAGCACTTACTGATCGTGCCATTAATTTATCAGATCCGGAATTTAGACCTCAAAATTTGATAAAAATTAAAGAAGTACTAAACAAAAACAATTACCCAAAAAAATTTTATGAACCCATAATTAAAAATAGAATCAATAAAATTTATAACTCTACATCCTATCATAGAACAGAAAATAAAAACAAATATATATCCCTTCCATACATTCCTGAAATAAACAAAAAAATTTCAAAAATATTAAAGCCCCACAACATCCAAATTGCAGAAAAAACAACAAGGAACTTGGCTAATAATAAAATCTTCACCAATCTAAAACCTAATGTTCCCAAAATGGATACTCCGAATATAGTGTATAAAATTGATTGTTCTGATTGCAGTAATACATATATTGGACAAACAAAACAATACTTTAAAAAAAGAATATATGAACACAAATATAGTTTGAGGCGAAACAATGAAAACAAAACAGCTTTAACACACCATGCACATGAAAACCTACATAGTTTCAATTTTGATAATGCACAAATTTTAGTAAGAGAAGACAATTACCATAAAAGAAGAATTCATGAAATGATCCAAATTCAAAAAAATTCAAATACTATCAACTTTAGATCTGATACAGAAAACTTAAGTGATATTTACCATAATTTAATCACAACTCAATAAACATAACACAAACTTTGCTCTCCCTATACATTAGATTAACGAACACACTGTGTATAGAATGGAATTCCAAATAGGCTAAAAAAAAAAAAAAAAAAACCCTGACTGATAAGAAACAAACACTTCCACCTATTTACGTAGCAACATCAACTAGAACTGCGAAAGGTCGAACTGGTTAAAATCAAATAAATTATAAAGATTTTTTAAAACATGAAAAAGAAAAATTAAATCATGGAACAACTTAGTTTGATGATCTAATTACAATAATACTTGAATACACAATTGGTAGACTACGATTATACAATAGCTGGTAA